AACAGATAAGCTATGGGCCTATCTCATTCCTCTAGTTCCCCTCCTCGACTCCTCTGTCCTCCGGTAGGGACCCGGAAATGAATTTCAGCGCGCCATGTGAAGGACATCTCATTTCTCTAAATACACTTTGAGGACCGAGGATCGAGCGTCGAGGAGTCTCTCTGGAGGAGTTATAACTGAGGATACACTGATGGGTCCTCCACGGTCCTCCACGGCTCCTCCGCAGATGCATTTTCGGCAACAGTGATGTTTAAAAGAGGCTTGACATATATCCAGTCTCTGATAGTGTTGCTACGTTATTATGAGAGTGCTCTCATACTTGTTAGATTCTGAAATGGTATATATTTATATAAATATTATATATACCCGTGTGTGTGTGTATATATATATGTCTGCATCTGTAGTCTCATTATACCGTACTGTCAATTAATTAAAAGTAAATATATAAGTCATCATGAACACAGTTCTGTCCATCAGACAGAGTGCCTCCTGTCATCATTAATGGACGTCTCTTTAAAATGACCGCTCAGAGGAGAGGATTTCTAATTTCTCTAACCGCCTGCTGCTTCCCCTCCTCTCTCCTCGGCTCGCATCTCCTGTGGGCGGGACTAAGACACGAGGATAGGAGTCGAGGAGGGGAGTCGAGGAGGGGAGTTAGTGAAATGAGAAAGGGCCTGGGTCCAGAGTGAATGTCTGCCAAATATCCAACCTGAATCTAACTTCATCACTGCTTTACATTTCACCACTGGCTACTGGGGCACAGGTAAAACAACCTCTCAAAAATAAAATATATTTGTCATTGAGCGAGAGAATTAAACATAAGTAAAGAAGTCATAAATAATAATATATAAATGAACTGTCAACAACAACAACAACAACAACAACAAAAACAACAACAACTCAAAGCAATGTGTTTTCTCAGGAAAAATAAATATAGGCAGTGGTGTAACCAAGTAGTACATTTCTGTACTCAAATACTATTCTGAGGTACTAATACTTTACTAGTATTTCAGTGTTATGCTACTACTTTGTAATTCTACTCTACTACAATTCAGAGGTAAATATGGTGTTGTTATTCCAGTACATGTAAGCTGGTTAACATCTTGAACTAATCGGAATCAGTCATGAAAAATGTAATATTGATTTAACAAGTACAACCTTTTTCCGGTTACTGTCCAAATACTGTGAGTTTTGCGCTTTAACAAGGACATCAACAAGGGTACGATGGTTTTGTCACCCTAAAAAAGGCCTCACCTTTAAAAATAATTAAATGTTAACACATACAGAAAAGCGACAATTTGAGTTTACAAAGTTAATGTAAGCTTCACTCAGTGATCAGTAGATTATCAAAAAATCAGGAGCAACGTTACCTGGATAACTCGAGCGGCCGGAGCTGCCATTTTGGAGCTGACTTTGCTCCCCATGACGACCTCACAGTTATACTTCCGGGATACAAATAAAGCTCCCTGCAGTTGCTGAAACACACCACAAGGTGGCGCAACTGTCATTATAAACAGCGAGGTCTATACCATAACGTAGGCTACATAGTGGTCCAGAGTATGCAGTTTATTATGGTGAGGGGTTAAGATGCTGATAACAGTTCACACATCAATGGCATCAATAGAAGATTCATTTTTAGACTATACAGCAATAACATAGATCTTCTCAAACCGGGTGATTAAGACTAGATTAAATAGTAAACCTTAAATGTGAGTATTTTATTAGGCTTGCCTTAAATATCTTTACCACTGAAGATTATTACACACAGACGACCGACGTGTAGACCCAGAGGTTGTCCTGCGAGGTCAAATCCTCAGGACATACTGCAGCCGTCCCATCCCAGGTAGTGAGTTAGCCTCCTGTCAAAAAGGACATACAAAAATAGACCAATAAAAGACCTTAATCCAATACAAAGCTAAACCAGTCGAGGTTTAATGATGCTCCATGTCCCTTTTTACCTCATAAAGCAATTAAAAGGCAATTATATTTTCTGCGTGATATCACAAAATGTCAAAACAAGGCTACTGTGCTAGGTCAAAGACAAATATCATACCCTGTATTTTATTTCACTCCGCATTGGGGGAGAAAAACCCGGATAACAAGGTCATCTGCTCAAAGACTGTCCAATCAACGACGAGGGAAGCAGCAGAGAGCGTTTATAGGAGAAGATGTGTCACCAACAGGAAATACACAAGGCATGCACTAGGAAATCAAAGCAAGAATGTCTCATGCTTTTGTAATAACATATTATAATTGATATTTATACTTAAAATCATACCGGGTATAAAGACTGGCCGGAATGTTTCTCGGAATTTCTCGTTCTACAAGGTGGTCGATCGGGCGACCATTCTTCAACCGGTAACACAAAGAATATTTTTTGCGACAGGGCAACTAACGGCCCATACATGAAAAGCTGAATTGCCCGAGAGAATGGCTTTATAAATAAATAAATAAATTTCATAAAAGACACGTTTCAGTTACAAGGGACCACAAATGATAT